TGATCTTTCTTATTTTATGTTGTGTTCTTTGTATGGTGTCATACCATAGATCACATACGAGGAGAATGCTTAGAGCGTTTGTGTAAACCCCTTTGATTGATAGTGGAAGTTGTGGGAGACGGTTCCCACCCGAGACGTACGGTGCTAGAGGCCGGGAACTCAATGATCAAATTCTCTATGTTATAGAATTAAACAATCTAACGATCGAGAATTCCTAACAAGTGGTATCAGAGAAATCCAGGTTTTGATTGCAGATGTAAAAGACATCATGGAGTTTATACAGAATCACAAAGAAGAAGTTCAAGGGGTCGAAGCAATAGCACTTATCTCAAGGAGTTGAACAAGGTCGGTATTGAAAGTCCTCCTAACTAGGTTGAACGTTAGGCGGAGGGTTCCATTATTCATGGCGGTACGAAGTGTGTTTGTTCAAGGCTGATCTATCTAAATAGGTGGGCGTGCCTATGTGGAAAGGGTTTTAGATTAAGGTGGAGATATTGTTAGAGCTTCTGGCAAAGGAAGAAAGATAGTATTTGTTTATTCTTCAAAGTGAACTGCGAGTCCTCCATTCAGAAGATTCAATCAAAGGGTAACATGACAGGTTTAAAGAAGTACGAGGTGTTTGAAGACTTTAAGAGTGGTTTCCGCTGCAATCACAAGGTATGAAAAAGTCTTCATGGGTTAAAGTTTGGGAGATACATCAAGTCACGAGGTGTGGAAATGGAAGTTATGTTTCAAATGGTTTCTTACATAATTCAGTTTTGTCGTGCATCAAAGAAGCTTATGATGGCATTACAACAACTGAATGGGTATAGGAAACTGCATGTTCTGTGGAGAATTCTCAATGTAATCAGCAAAGAACCATGTTAGAAAATTGTATCGAAAGTCTTTCTAACAAGATGGTTAGGCAGCGTGTTCTGTTGAGTCTAACAAGCGGTACAAGATGGTGTACATGTTATCTTTGCTGGATGAAGGATCAAGGTATGTGATCTATGGTACATGAGGTGGTTGATGGCGATTCAGTCAAAGGATCAGAACATGAGGAAGACTCCAAAGAGAAAAAAAAAAGTGGTGAAACATAGAGAGTTGCAGGTTTTGATATCAAATAAGGTGATATCAACCAAGGTGTTAGCTCAGGTTAGAGTTACAAGTGGTATTCTCGGGATTGATTTCTGCAAGTGACTTAAGAATGATGAACTCATATGGACAAAACTGGTTAAGGGAATCAGTTTCTTAGAAACCAAGAAACAAGCAAGGGATTTCTGGTTTTTTTTTACGGCTCAGGTGAGAGTCAAGAAAGAGGAATAATTGGTCTACCAAAGTAGTCAATCGAATTTAAAATAAAGATTAGAAATTCAGATTGATAGCTTCACGAGAAGCAAAGGGTTCTTGGACGGACGTCGTCTGGCATTAAGAATTGGTGGATGTAGCTACAAGAAGGTTAATAACATGTGTCTAAAGCCTGACACAGTTAAAGGTAATGCCATGGAAACAAACACACAAGGCTTGGCGAGGATGAATCAAGAGAATCAATGAGAAAAAAGGTTGTTAACTCAGAGAGATAAAGTCGTAATTAACTTTGAAGGATCCAAGTTCCAGGTGGAGTCATTGCTATTACAAGACTGTAATGCATGTTCGAGACAGAACGTTGGGATTCTAGGTGGAGCTACAAAGTTAGAAGGATATCTCAGTTTTCTTTAGGTGTAAAGGCAGGATCTGAGTTCAAGGTTAATCAGCTCATAGGGTGTGAGTTTAAGGAAGAATTTGTCATTGCTTGGGTATGATTCAAAGTGAGTAGGAGTGTGAAGACGACATGGGTATAAGAGAACGGTAAAGATGTCTACAGGTTCAAGCATTATTTTGTTGCAACAAGATTTAAAGAGAAAGCTTTCAAGAGAGGGTGGATGCTTGATGGTGGTAATTGACATCTAGAAATTAGTCGGGGGATTATTGATTTCGACGAGGTATAAGGTTTAGAGAGTAAACTGAAATAATGGGAATAGCGGAGAAGACGAATGAGATCGTTGGAGAAGCTGTTACAGAGAAAAAAACACAAGTTAGTGTTTTATGATTTCACAAGAAATTTCAGAAAGTTCGAAACAAAGACGTCAAGGTTTCAATGGTTATCTGAAAATTTCAGAAAATGATGTTGGAGGTTGAACACCGGAGAACACATAACGTTTTTGTTCTGGATTTTCACTATCAAGATCAAGGGTAAGAGGTTTTTAGAAGGTTACCTGGGTTCAGCAAAGTCTTGTTAAGTTTCAGAGGCTTGAAGTTGATCACAGGATGGTAAAATATCTCGCAAAACAATAAAAGAGCACTGAGTTTCAGCCTGTGTTCTAAGTTATTGTATTGTGAAGATTTGGGGATCTAAACTGAAGCTGAAACTAAGTTTAGAAGAGTTTACCTATGGTGTACCAATGGAAGTTTGAAACCTCATGATCAGAAAGACACAAGCAAGAGTACAACACGTGATCTCTTTGGCATTAAGTCCTCAACTACAAGAAACAGAGAAAAAGTTTGGGTAAAAATACCTAAACTAAATATGTAACGAAAAAACCTCAAACTACTTTTATTTAGTAAATTAAACCCCCGCCAGTCATAATTACCTGTATTACCGGCAAATCTTTACTTTAGAGGTTTTATCATTAAATATAAGAAATCAAAAATCAAAATATAATAACATTATCTAAAAATTCGTAATTTTAATTTTCAAAGTTAGCATTTTAAAAATTTCTGTAAATATATGAGTGATTTGTTATCCTTTTAAGATGGATTTTTAACTCTATAATATTTCAACTAAGTTTTTTTTGGGTAAAAACCCCCCAAATTAACAAGTAAACCCCCATATTAAACATAGTTGAAGGGTTTTATCATTAAAATAAAATAAAAAAAAATTATAACAGCATCTAAAAATTAGTAACTTAAATTTTTAAAATTATAATTTTTAAAACTTTCTATAGATATATAAGTTTGATTTGTTTTGACATCAACATTATATATATATATATAAATTAAAAATTAAAAACACCAAAATATAATAAAAATCATCTAAGGATTTATTATTACATTTTTATTAGATAAGATATAATTTTTATTCTATTTTCTTGTTTTTTACATTTATAACGTTTTGATTATTTTTATTAAAGGTAAATCTTTAGATAATTTTTGTTATATTTTCTGGGTTTTTGCATTTTAAATTTATACATAAATAATGTTGATTTTAAAAGGATAACAAATCAAACTCATATATTTACAGAATTTTTTTAAAATGCTAGTTTTGAAAATTAAATTATGAATTTTTAGATAATGTTATTATATTTTGATTTTTGGATTTTCAATCATAAAACCCTAAGCTAAAAATTTACCGGTAGTACTGATAATTATAATTGATGAGGGTTTATTTCATTATATAAAGTTAGTTTACAGTTTTTTCGTTAAATATTTAGTTTAGGGGTTTTTACTCAAAATAAACTTAATTGAGAGGTTTTAATGTTAAAAATCCATTTATTAAAGGGAGAAATGTTTCTAATATCATGTTTTTTTTTTCATTTGAGTCTTGGTTTTACCTGAAAAAGTTTATAAAATCATGAGGTAATACGTTAGATTTTGATTCCTATATTTTACACATAAAATTGTATCCAAATCCCCTGAAAGTATTTCAAGTCAAAGGAATTGAAATTTTTTTATCAAACATGAATAACACCAGATTTTAAATCTTGTATTTAAGTCTTAAACTGAATAATAACAGATTTAAATTATTTTAATGAAGTTTTTTAAATACAAGAACTAATAACACTAGATTTCAAAATCTTTTAACAAAATATTTTAAATACAATAACCAATAACTCAAGATTTTAATAAAATATTTTAAATTGATCATTGAATAACACTAGATTATAAAACCAAATGAATTAAATTTAAATCCACTAACCAATAACACCACCTAAATTTTGGATGTCCAGAGCATATACAACCACAACCAATCATACCCTCAATTTACAAACGGTTCATTTCAAATAAAAAGAGTTTAGGTCTATGATTATAATATAATGTTTAATAGGTGGTAGTACATATATATCATGTGTATTAGATGTTTGTTTCGTTCTATTTCAAAATGTTGAAAATTTTATGTTCTTAGAAAATGGCAAAAGCGAAAAGAAATAATACAAAAAATAGTACTACATTAAATTGTATATATTCCATTCTCATTATTTATTCACAGGGAAAAACTATGAATTAATATTATAGATATTATATTATTCTATTAATTTATAGAGTTAATAATTTTTAAACAAATATATTTTAGAGTTATATATTTCTCTTATTTTATTTATAATAGAAAGAACAAATTTCTTTAGAATTTTATTTATTAATTAAATTTTACAACTTTTTTTTTCTTTTTGATAATTCTTTAATGATTTATTAAAGATATGTATTCAATATAAATTCAATTTTATGAATAGTAAGACATGTTTTAAATAATGAAAAATAGAAAAAGTTACATTGGATATAATAATAATGTCCCCTTTGTGTTAATATAAATGCTCTATAAATATGTTTTAGCTAATAATTTTTTTAACCACAAATTTTTAATATTGCTTAAGATCAAATATTTAAACAATATTATCATATTTTTAAGAAATTATGATATATATATAGATTTTTTTTTTGTAAAAGGATTTTTATTAAAATTAAAACAAATTACAAGATATGATTTGTTGGATCGCATAGTTTGAGAAAGTTTGATACATTAAAAAGACAGAGAAAAAGCTATATAAGTAAGAGTCTTGTACAACCCTTAAGTTGAACCAAACTAGCAAGGAAATTAGTGTGCTTGATAGGAACCTCGACCTCTATGGCCTCGTTTTCCTCTGCCATGAACTGTCATCCATCTCATATCTTGGTATTTTTGTGTCGGTTGATCAACCGACCCCCTCTTGTCATGCTTCTAAATTTATCCATTTATTCAGTAATATGAAAATCACTATCCATGTTACTTACTTCTTGGATTGATTCGTCATCTTTAAAGGATCATTTTCTGAGAGTGTTATACCCTCGTTCACGATAATTTCTGATGGAACATTGTCCATAACTTGTAAAGAAGTGTGAGCAGATGATGTACATGCTAGTGTAGAAGAAAAGATAACCTTTGCATCCAGAAGTGATTTACTGAAAGTAACAGAGTTATCTTTGTGAGAAATAGCTACTTGAAGAGACATAGAGTCATTAATTGCTGGTGAAGAAATAATGTCCATTGAGAAAGCTCCTAGCTTCCCCAGAAAGGGAACATATTGAGTTGTAAGGACAGTTTTTTGAAGACTAAGCTCTTGTCCTAGAATCTGGTCTAGTGCTTGATCAGACAGATCATTTATGATGTTTTTGGCATTGATACTCTCTCCTGGCACTTTAGGAGTGATACAGTTCTGCTGAATATCAGAATTAGTATTATCCAAGAAAGAGTCTATAACAACCACTGGGATATCCACATCTTTTCTTCATTTAGTAGACAATTCTTTGCTTTGTGGCCTAGATTCCCACATCTTTCACAAGTTGATGGAATTACGATTAATCAGTCCAATCTGAAACAAGAGTTTTAATATTTCTTTATCAAATTTTAGTTTATAAAATTCAACTGTAGTTATATTATTTTATATAAATGCATAGTCATATAAAAAAGGAAAAACATATCAAACAAAATAATTAATAAAATAACATAAAACAAACATACAATAAATAAAAATGCCATAGATTAAAAAGTAGTGATAATTTGGAAGAGAGAAATGTAGAGAAGGATACCACGTTATATAGAGAAGGACATCAAACAGTCCGCTTTCTCTGTTATATAGAGAAAGATACCACGTTGCCCAAAAAAAAAAAGAGAAAGATACCACATCTTGAATACAAGTAAAGTCTACTTCTAATATTCTAACATGTAAGAAGATAAGAAGCTCTAAGAGCTTCTAACACATCTAACTTTCAGACAGGAATGCTTCTAGATTTCACGCAACTTAATATGACAAATCTTTTCTCAGTCCATCTGTGAGCTTGAAGCTCTAGGCAGAGAAACCAACTCATTGAGTTTCTTAGATCTCTCTTCCTTGGAATGGTATCTCCACCCAGAGATACCCACAATCTTCAACTGTCTTGCGTTGTTAAGGATGTACGCCACTATTTTCTTCTCTTCGTCTTTTGCGTTGTAATTCTTCCACTCGAAAGTATGTAGATGGAACATCAAACATTCAGGAACCGAACTTGGTCCTCTCCAGTGACCTCTAATAGACCTCGTGGTACAAGGGCGTTCATTGCACTAAGAACACACGTTACTGTGTGTCAGACTTACGACAATGAAACATTTGAATAAAGAAACTGATCAGGCTCGGTTAATGAGATACCACACATATTTTGAGAACTTGTAGTTTAGGAGAACTTTCTAGCATCCGAGTAAGTAGATTCCACCACCCTCGGGAAGCTGCACATAGCTCCAAATGAACAGACGATAAAATCCAAAGCAGCTGCGAAGCTGCATAGAGAATGTTTGAAAACATAAGCCATGTAATAAATCAGACGAAACACAAAATGGTCTATTTTATTACCGATGAAGCGGATAAACATAAGCAGAGACGCTTGACTGATAAAATAGAACCCACTAGCTTCTCTGGACTATTGTTAACAACTCTAACATTTGCCACAACTACCTCAGGCATGTTCTCACACAAACACAAGTCATCATCGTAATCAACAAAGTTCAAATACTTCAAACACGGGACATTGATCACAGTCATATGAAGCCCACCAACACCATAGTCCGGTTCTTCACATATATCAATTATAGATAAACTCTGCAAGTTAGGCATTTCAACATAGAAAGTCCTCAGAGAGTTACTGTTTAAACTCTTGTCCAACACCAACTCCTCAAGAACAGGACATCCCGACAAAAGCCGACTGTGACATTCTTTGGTCTCATACTTAACATTGATAAGGTGTAACGTTCTCAAAGACGGAAGCCAAACATCGACAGGAACATCGAGACCAATCGAGTAAGTGAGCTTCAAGACCTCGAGCTTGTCATAAGTATAAAGACTCTTTGGTAATCTGATTGGTCTAAGTTCCTTTAAGTGTTCTTCAGTGTGGAAGATCTCAAGCTCACGTACACCCTGAACCATCCCATGTATGATCCATTTGATCATGTCTTCGTTACTGCAACAAGGACCAACGTCGAATCTAAGAGATTCTAGAACCGGGGATGTACGCGATGCCATTGATCTCCCCACATATTCCATGAATGTTTCGTATCTGGAAGGGTCGAGTTCAAAACCATCATCAAAATCAAATCTTGAGACCATCGTCCAAACAAGCTTCCATCTTTTGGATAGAAGCGTTGTCGCGACGACATATTTGGTAGGAAGATGTGAGAAAATCTTCAAGAGCAAATCATCCGGGAGACTACTGATCCTATCCATATCGAAGCCCTAAATCAAATCCTCCAAAACTAAAATCCTAAACCTAAGAAAAAAAAACCCAAAACCTAAACCATGAAGCAGAATCAGAAAGGGAGATACTTTTCCATGAAGAATTGAAGATATAGATTGACGTTTCTCTCTGCTTTCGAATCTGAAAGGAAACGATGAGCTAAGATATTTAATCATTAATTAATGGACGAAGTTAAATTGGGCTCAACAGCCCAAATGAAATATGTGCTCTCATTAGTTTTCTCAACCCTATTAAACAGATATTTCACAGGTGTTATTCAACATTAATTATAAATTGATTCCATATATTTATAATAATTGTTATTCAGTAATTAATAAGTTGAAATTTAATGGTATTAGTTCTACTATTTACAATCTCTTCACTAAAAGAGTTTATATACCCAAATGTCACAATGAGAATGATTTTCAGGACTCTTATAGAAATATGGTGGTCCAAACTAAACATATGTTATATTTTAAGGTGGACATCTTTTATGCTTGTAAAACGCACCGTTTAAGGAAAGGCGATTCTAAGGTGATTGTGAGAACGACTATGACCTAGCTTTCGTGATGGATTCGGCGCATCCACCGGGGGTTTCTAATCCTCTGGGACTGCGATCGGAGAATCTAGGTGAGGAGAGGAGTGATCGATTGGAAAGGAAACAAGATGGGAACAAGGTTACGATGGAGGCTAAGAAATGGGTTTCTGCAGCAAGGGATAAAAAGAGCTTGACGAAGTATGAGGTTGAAGTATCGATGAGAGACGGGAAGCACAAGGTTGAGATTCCATAGGAGACTCTTGCGGATTCAACTCCGTTATGGGATGATTTTGTAGTTGGGAAGTTTTTGGATCTGGCTCCTCACATGGCGGAGGTCCATATGGTGGTGAATAAGATATGGAGCTATGGAGAGTTAGCTTCAAAGGTGGATGTCTACGATGTAAATGCTACGACGATGCGTTTTCGGATCTCAAACCCTAAAGCTCGTGAAAAGGTGCTGAAGAGAGGTATGTGAAATATAGCTGGTGTTCCTATGGTAGTAACTAAATGGACCTCCAAGACAGAGGAAGAGAAATAGGAGGAGAATGAAATTCCAATGTGGGTGCACCTGAAGAAAATACCTCTACATATGTATTCTTGGGAGGGCATTAGTTTTATGACTAGAATGGTGGAATTTCCTAATAGATTGCATCCGGAGACGCTAGCTTGCACGAATTTGGAAGTAGCAAAAGTATTTGTCAATGTTGATATTTCAAAATCTTTACCAAAAGAGATTGAGTTTACAAAGGATGGGAAGGAGTTCACAGTTGTATTTCATTATCCTTGGATGCCAGCAAAGTGTAATTTGTGTGAAAAATGGGGTCACACGGAAATAGTTTGTGTGAAGAATGGTAAAGATAGGAACAAAAGTGAAGGTACTAGTGATTCTGTGAGTGGTGAGAGTGGGAAAGGGAATCATGATGAAGAAAAGAAAGAGGAAAACTTGGATGTATCAGATGTGGGTCCATGGGAGCTTGTAATACATTTTTTCGATCTAACGGGAGGGACCGGTTCTACAATAAAAATATCTTTACTAAACTTGGTCTTCTCAAGGGAGGAAACGGTAAATACGCAGAATGGTAATGGAGACTATAACTGGTCAAGGGTTCCATTAGCGAAAGCAGGGAGGTCTTCACCGAGTCATGTTTATGAAATTCAGATTTCTGCCTCGAAGTTCTCTATTCTAACTGTTGATGATTCAGAAGAATAGAAGGAGTGTGAGTATGGTATTGAGATTCAAGAGAGTAAGGATGAGGAAATAATTGAGGAAAGTGAACATGAAAGTTTGTCTGATGGTCATCAGCTAGAAGATGACATTTTAGAGCAGAAAAGTAGAGAAAAAGATAAGGTAGTGAGTAAAAAAGGGATGAAGAGAGGTCAGAAGGCTAAAGCTCAGGATGCAAATCATGCTAAGAGCACAAGGCCTTCTCGGAAAAAAACTAATATGTCCTGCTTCTTCTGGAATGTGAGAGGATTCAATAAATCTTTGAAGCATTCTGTTGTTAGGGAGTGGATTAATAATAAAGATATGCAGTTTGGGGGTATTTTGGAAACACGAGTCAAGGAAAAGAAGTCTGAGAAGATAATAAAGGAGGGTTTTAAGGAGTGGTCTATGAGGACAAACTATGAGTGTAGTCATGGAGGTAGGATTTGGGTTTTATGGAGGAATTCTGTTCATATGACCCCTGTTTACAAGTCTGATCAGTTGATCACTTGTTCTGTGGGGTTGGAAGGTGAAGAAGAGTTTCTATGTACGTTTGTTTATGCAAAAAACACTATTGAATAAAGGAAGGAGTTATGGGATGATCTTTGTCATCATTGCAATTCGGGTATGTTTAAAAATAAGGAATGAATGATTATGGGAGATTTTAACAAGATTTTGGATGGAGAAGAGAATTCGAGGTTTTCTAGTTTGGATAGAGTCCCTGCTGGCATGAGGGATTTTCAGAGGGTCATTCTACATTGTCAATTATCTGACTTGGGTTATCAGGGTCCTTTATTTACGTGAAGTAATAATCAGAGTGAAGGCATTATTTGTAAGAAGCTCGATAGGGTGTTGATGAATGATGCTGCTCTTCACAGATTCTCTAACGCTTATGAAACTTTTGAAGCTGGTGGATGCTCAGACCATATGTGCTGTATGATCCCGTTGAAGCCTCCTCAAGAAAAAATTCGAAGACCTTTCAAGTTTGTAAAAGCTATTGGTACTTTGCCAAGGTTTTTACCTATGATCAATGATTTTTGGGCTACGACTGAGGTTCTTTTTCACTCTACCTCTGCTTTATACAGATTCTCAAAGAAGCTTAAACACCTTAAGCCCCTGATTAGAGAATTAGGAAGAGAAGGTCTGGGTAACTTAACTAAAAGAACTAAAAAGGCGTATGAGGATTTGCGTGAAAAACAGAAGTGCACGCTTCAAAACGCTTGTGAGACTGCAGCACATGATGAAGCTATTGCCTATGAAAAGTGGTTGCATGTTGCAGGTTTGGAAGAAGATTTTCTTAAGCAACGATCCAAACTTCATTGGTTGGATGTGGGTGATCAAAAAAACAAGACCTTATATAATGCCATAAGATCTCGTCAGGCTCAAAACATGATTCGAGAAATTAGAGATGAGGAAGGAAACACTCTTACTGAACATAAGGAGATTAAGAAAGAAGCGGAGAGATTTTTCTCGGATCTCTTGAACACTTTCCCTGTTGACTATAAAGGTACCACTGTTGAGGAGTTGAGGAATCTTCTGGACTTCAAATGTAGTGAGGCAGATTGTCATATGTTGACTGCTGAGGTTTTGGAGGAAGAAATTCAAAGTGTTTTGTTTGCTATGCCAGCTAATAAATCTCCAGGGCCGGATGGTTTCCCGTGTGAGTTTTTCAAGATGACATGGTCGATCATAAGGCATGATTTTGTTGTGGCCATTCAGTCTGTGTTCAGGTTTGGCTTTCTTCCTAAAGGAGTGAACTCAACAATATTGGCTTTGATTCCCAAGAAAACTGACTCAATGGTGATGAAGGATTACATGCCTATTGCTTGTTGTAATGTCCTTTATAAGGTGGTGTCTAAGATCCTTGCAAACAGGTTAAAGAAGCTTCTGCCTAGTATCATCAGTGAGAACTAGTCTGCTTTTATTCAGGGTCGTTTATTAATGGAGAATGTCCTGTTAGCTTCAGAGCTTGTTAAGGATTACCATAACGAGGTTATTTCCCCGAGGTGTGTAATGAAAATTGATATATCCAAAGCTTTTGACTCGGTTCAGTGGGAGTTTGTACTAAAGGGTTTGGAAGCGTTGGGGTTCCCTGATATTTTCATTCATTGGATTAGACTGTGCATCACGAGCCCGTCCTTTTCAGTGCAAGTGAATGGTGATCTTGCTGGTTATTTTCAGAGCTCGAGAGGTCTGCGTCAAGGTTGTTCCCTCTCTCCATACCTCTTTGTTCTCTGTATGAACATTTTGTTCTTGCAGATTGATAATGCAGGGATTGGAAACCAGTTCAAACTCCACCCTTGTTGTGGATCTCTTTCTCTTTACCCATTTATGCTTTGCGGATGACTTGATGGTGTTTGTTGAGGGATCTAAAGTCTCGATTGAAGGTGCTCTAGCCGTGTTTAACGAGTTTGCAGTCTGGTCTGGTTTGAAGATCAGTATTGAGAAGTCCATGATATACATGGCTGGTGTATCTGCTGAGGAAAGGACTAGGATCTTTTCAAATTTCCCTTTAGCTGAATGTAAGCTTCCTGTGAGGTACTTGGGGCTTTCTCTTATGACCCAAGTGATGCGATGACAGAATTACCAGCCTTTGTTGGAGATAATAAGATGCAGTATTAACACTTGGAAGAACAGGTTTTTATCCTACGCAGGACGATTACAATTGATAAAAGCAGTTATAATGAGTATTGTTAACTTCTGGTCAGCAGTGTTTCGTCTTCCGAGTCGATACATTAAAGAGGTGGAGCAAATTTGTTCAGCCTTCTTGTGGACAGGTCCCATCCTAAAAACTACTGGAGCAAAAGTGTCTTGGCAGGATGTTTGTAAGGAAAAGGATGAAGGGGGTCTGAGTATTCGAGCTTTAAAAGAAGTCAACTTAGTGTGTGGATTAAAGCTTGTTTGGAGGATGTTGGTGGGGAAATATTTATGGAGCAGATGGATTAAGATTAATGTGTTAAAGAAGAGGAGTTTTT